GCTAATGTGTTCATCAAAGACAAATGTGGACACACAGCAAGAGACAGGGCGCAGAAACATCCAGAATGTGAGAAAATTCTTCAGGAGCAAGAAGGTAGGATTCAAAATCCTGATAGGTTTGCAGTGTATTTTTATCATTTACCTAACATAAATTTTTGGGGAGACGAAGTGGCCTCATGGTTAGTGTGCTTGTCTCCAGATTGACGGTCCAGGTCCAAGCCCTGGCTGGGGACATTGTGTTGTGTACTTGGGCAAGACACTTCACTCTCACAGAGCCTGTCTCCATCCAGGTGCATAAATGGGTACCAGCAAACTTAATGCTGGGGGTGACCCTACGATGGATGCATCCCATCCAGGGGAGAGTAGAGATATAATTCTTAGTCACTTCATGCTACAGAAACTGGGATAAGCCCTTGCCTGATGGGCCGCTTGGCTCGTTGGCAGACTGAACCTTGTTTTTCAGTAAAGGGATAATAATAATTATTGTCTTGAAAAGATCATTAGTTCTACTCATGGAAATATGTGGCCTAGCAGGTAATGCATTGGACAGCCTAGGGGTGTTCCCCCCCCCCCCCCCCCCCCCCTTTTCAGCATTTTTTTTTCCCACTGAGCCATCTGGCTTGAGTGTACGGGTGCCAGTAGGGGGCCTGGCACAGGGGGCTCGTGGTTTGGTTGCAGGTTGGGCAGGCCAGTTGGGTGTTCTNCAATTGTTGAATCTGCCAGTATTCATGCACTTAGGTAGAGAAAGGCACCATATTAATAGTGTGGTTTTTTTTTTTGCAAATGAACAAAGCAGTGACCCCCACCAAAACGTGAGCCTAGACCACTAAATCTAGACTCCAGTGCACTAATAGTTAGGGCACTGTGCCTCTTGTGATTGATAGATGAAGCTGACAAAATGTCGGATGATAACTTGCAATGTACTAGCATACCATCCAGGGGGGGAAACTAATGCATCCAGCTGTTTGATGTTGCATAAACCGGTTTCACAGATTACTTTAAACCCTACACACT